TGTCTCACATGTTGGTCTTGGCTTGGGACTTGTCTCACTTTTTGGTCTTGATTTGAGACTTGTCTCACTTGTTGGTCTTGACTTGGGACTTGTCTTACATGTTGGTCTTGACTTGGGACTTGTCTCTCTTTTTTGGCCTTCGCTAGTAACTTGACTTGTTGAACTTGACTGGGGACATGACCTTGACCATGATTCTGGGCATCATATTATGATCTGAAACTTTCTGTTCATGCGTATTGAAAACAACTGCTCTGTCCCACTTCTCTTACACAACAATGTGGGCAGCAGTTGTGTTTTTGGGTTCAGATTGTTCTCTCAAAGTGTGTTGTCCTTACTCACATGTTTCCTGCCACTGAGTTGGCTGATGTCTGTCAGTGACAGAAAACTACCGTAGGTTGTGGAAGGATCAGGTGTATTTGGGAGAAGTCACAGTGTTTGAATCCGGCATGTAAACACAGTGGGATTTAGATGAAGTTTAACAGGGCTCCTTTGGTCTGCATCACAGACTTTGTTTCTTCATGGCTTTGTACTCCTGATTAATTCCAGTGCGTTCACAGCTGGGACTGAAAAGATGATGAATGTGTTTTTTTCAGCTCGCTGTTTTTTAAGATGTTTCCTTCATTCAGTTAGTCTTTGTATCTGTTTGTGTATCCCCTCGCTCTGGCTTTGATCAGACACATGAGAGCACAGGCATGTCTGCTTTGCCTGGAGAAACTCAACTGGAGGATATTTTTCCTCTCACTGGCCTTTTAGTGCGAGAAACATATTGGCTATGTACATTTTTAGACAATATGAATTTCAGCGTCTCCAAAACAACATCAGCAGGCTACAATATTTGTTTAAGAATGAAGCATTGAAGGACAAATTCCTTTTCCTTTCAATATAATCATACATTTCCACCCCGGTTGTTACCTCATGAAATTATGAAAATGGTATCTATAACCAATGTTCTCTTCATCTAACACTGGAATGGAAGATATTGTATCTCAAGCTAAATTAAAGGCATTTATCATTTCAGCTATTAAGTTAGACTGTAGACAACATCTGCCGTAAATGAGATACTCTTTAGATTCAAGACAATTGTGCAATTAGTGTTACTTTTTGGATTCTTTCCTACAACCCAAATGAAATGCCGCTCATATTACCATGTAAAATCCTTATAATTCACAAATCTTATGTTCAGCTGTGGGCTATAAAAGTTCAGTTTCAATTCCAACCACTCACCGTGTTTTTTTTTCATAGACTGTGGTAATGTAGATAATATAAAATGCAGTAGCTGCACTGGATGTTGAGAGCTTGGTTGTGGTTATGAGAGTCAATAGAAATGAGAGCCATGCTGATGATTTCTTACACAGAATGTAAGCTTTGAACTGTGCACTTCCCTTTCCCAATTTTCTTTGGGTGATACAATTAAAGGCTTACTTTTAAATATCTATTTTTTCTCTCCTACAGTTTGAGTTTTTGAATGTACTCATTAAAGTATAACCTGGATAATAAAATCAGGTGCAAATTAAATAATCGATGAATTATGCCTGTGATAAACTTTACAAGCAGCAATAAGTGTTTTATGGATGTTTTGGTCCAGCGGTTTTACCTCTTACTGTATGTAGGCTAACCTTTATCAGAATTACAAATTATTATTACTGATATTTGTTATTACTAATATAATTACGTTAATGGAGCTGCTAATGACATTTTCAAAACATAAATACATTTTCTTATTTTCTCACAAGGGCTCTGCATCAAATGTTGCCTGAATATAAGGTAACTAATAGTTTGTTATATTATGATGCTGTTTGTACATGGCAGCACATGGAATTCCTCTCATATGCTTTTGCAGTGTCCCACATCAAGATTGTTTTTGTGAAGACAAAGAGGAGCTTTTCTTTTAGATATATTCCACACAAGGGAAAAAGCTGGTGTATGTCCACATGTCCACTAGCTCCATCTCCTCCTTTATTCCTTTATCAAATATCAAGGGACATAGCTAGTACTTTTACTAATTAATTGCCAGATGAATAACCATTGTTGACCTGAGAGGCAGCTCTGTAGATAGCACTCATTCAAGGCCGACAAGATTCACCTTATTTATATATATAATTATGTAAAAACACCATCAATGATACAGTATTAAAGACAAGTTCTTGTTAACCATTAGACTTGTTTCCTTCGACTGCCACATGTGTGGTTTTCTTCTTT